TATAAGAAATCTTAAGACTAAAAATTTATAAAGTAAAAACTATTTAAAATATATATAAAAATAATAATTAAAGGAAATACTTAATAAAATAGAAAAACTATTTAAAAAATAAAAATATTTAATAATTACTAAAATACCTTATTAATACTTAATAACTTTTAAAGAATTTTTATTAATATTAATAAAAAAATTAAAAAAAGAAATATTTATAAAAATAAAGTTTTAATTAATTATATTTATAGTACTATAAAATTAAGCCTTAAATATTATAAATAACTTTATTTAATTAATAAAGAAATTACCTTACTTCTTTAAAGATTATATTTTATAAAAAAATAATTTATTATTTTATTTTTTAAGATAGTATTTTATTTTATAAATATAAGCTAAATAAGCTATAGCCTCTTTAAAAGCCTTTTTAGCCTTTTACTTATTTTTTTTTAACTTTTTATACTTTTTTATATTTTTTAAAACTATTAAGAAATTAGTAATTAAAGTAAAAAATATAAAAATATTAACTTATAAAAAGTTATAATATTAAAATTATTATAAATTACTTTAATATCTATATAATTTTTATAATAATTTAATTTTTTATTTTTAACCTTATAGAGAAGACTATAATAAAAATATTAAAAATATAATACAATATAATTATTAAAATTATAAATATACTATATAAAACTATTAAATTTAAAAGTTTTTATATATTTCTTCTTAAAAACTTAACTTAATATAATAATTAATAAGATATATATAAATAAAATAAATCTAAATTAATATATATAAATTAAAATTAATAAAAATAATAAGTAAGTATAGTCTTAAAGATAAAACCTAAAGAAGAGAAGAGATTATATTATAACCCTTATAGTTATATTATATATACCTTATAAAATTCTTTATAAATTCTATTAATTATAAATAAATTAAATAGACCCTTTTTAATTTATTTAATTTAATTAATTAAAATAAAACTAAAGCCTTATAATATTAATTTAAAATTAAAAGATTAATATTTTAATCCTTAATAGAAATATTAATAAATACCTTATAAATAGTAATATATAATTTATATTTATTTATACTTATATAGACTTAGCCTTTTAGCTATTAATAAAACTTTTTTATATTAATTAAGCCTAATATATATTAAATCTAATATTAAAAGATATAATACCTTAATAACTACTTAATATTATACTCTATATAATTTATTAATAATAAACTTAAATATAGCTTAATTTAATATAATTAAACTTAATTATTATATTCTTTTTAATAGCTATAGCTATTATATAAAGCTTATAGTATTTATAGCCTATAGCTTTTATTAAAATTAATTTAATTATATTAATAAAGTTATAATTAATTATATAATAGGCCTAATTAGCCTATAGGCTATTATATATAATATATATTATAATAATAATTATAATTAATATTAATAATTATAATTAATAGGTTAAAGAATATATTTATAAATTAATATTTAATCTTTTAGTTAATTAGGGTTTAACTAACCTTTAAGTAAAAGTATAATATATTATAACCCTTATAGTTATATTATATATACCTTATAATTTCCCCTATAAAACCTATTAATTATAAATAAATTAAATAAACTCTTTTTAATCTATTTAATTTAATTAATTAAAATAGAATTAAAACCTTATAATATTAATTTAAAACTAAAAGTCTAATATCTTAATTCTTAATAGAAGTATTAATAAATACCTTATAAATAGTAGTATATATAGTTTATATTTATTTATATTTTTATAGATTTAGCCTACTAGCTATTAATAAAACTTTTTTATATTAATTAAGTCTAATATATATTAAATTAACTATTAAGAGATATAATACTTTAATAACTACTTAATATTACACTTTATATAATCTGCTAATAATAAACTTAAGTATAGCTTAGTTTAATATAGTTAGACCTAACTGTTATATAATAAACTTAACTTAATATATTAAAAAGGTTAATTTAAAATCTTTTAAATAAAGTAAAAAAAGAAAGTTAATATAACTATTAAGGGGCAGTATTAATATTACTTAATTAAAGTAGTAATTATACTATTAAGGTAAATAAACCTTATATAATTTTAACCTTTAAGATATAGGCTTACTATAAGGGCCTTATTATTTAAGCCTTTAGATAGAAAGTTAAAAGCTTAATAGCCTTATTAAACTAATAGTAAAAAAAATAATATATATATTTAAAATAAATTATTTATATAAAATATAAAGTATAAAATATATTTACTTTAATTATTATTATTATAAGTTATAAATATATTTATTTATAAAAAGAATATATTTAATATAAAAAATTAATTATTTTATAAATATTTTTATTAACTATATAGCCTTATATAGCCTTAACTATTAAATCTTTTATTTTTCTAATTTATAAAATATAAAAGACTTAATATAAAGGTTATATATTAATAGATATACTAGATCTAGTAAAGGTTTGGGTTCCCTGCCGTCTTTGCCAGTAACTTGCAGCACTAGCTTACCATTCGGCTAACCGGCACGCCGCGTTGACCAGGGTTCGAGCCAACTAACTATGTTAGTCGCGCACCTCGTTGCAAGCTACGCCCGACTCAGGTAGGCAAGCTAGGGGGTGTCAGAAAACGTCTGACATATAGATCTGATTTTGTGCGGTGAGTGCAGATTCCGCGTTTGACTCTTTTTGACACCCGAGGGCCAGGAGGTCATAAGACAAGCTTTGAGCAAGCATTCGCGTATTGGCTTGGCCGCGACTAGGTCATTTGGGGAAGCTGAACCTTGTCGCCCGGAATCTACATATACTACTTGCATCTCCGCAAATGGCAGGTAGTTATGTCGAGCATGATAAGGAGCACAGGAGAACCACCAATAATATCAGAGCTCACGATACCAAGTGTCTGAAGACCTGAATGAAGGATCACCTGTCACGCTATGCACCTTCCTCGGACGGATCCGCCGGCCCAAACTTCCCCTCGTTGACGGAGTGCCATGGCGTGGAGTAAGATTGGAACAGGCTGCTTATCGCCAAACCATCGCCAATTGGATGCATCAGCTATTCATTGCTGCCGGTACGGAGTACTCCTTTGAGGAAGGCAGTATCGTGCTAGCAGCGTAAGCAATGGCTCCCAAAGG